GCCATAACCAAGGTTTAAAATTTCAATACAATTTGCCCAATACGGGGCGTATCGTATCGTATTGTATCTTTGAAAAACAGATACGGGATACGCATAGAAATCAAGCGTCTCATCTTTTTTCATGTGTATCGGACCCGTATCGAGGCGTATTGGGGCTTATCCGGGGTGTATCGGGGCATATCGATAACATATCAACGAAAAATATATGCCAAAAACTGAAAAAAAAAATAAAAAGGAAAAGCAAGGTTCTTTTCTCTGAAATGACTTTAAAACTCCAAACCTCATTCCTAGAATGCTAGATTTACAAAAAATTGCAAGAAATAATTGTGAATTGTTTTTTTTTTTTTTGAAAATTTTTCAAAATTTGAAAAAATATGGCAAAAATAGGTAAGTTTTTTCAAATATTTATAATATCTTGTGATTATTTTTTCTTGAATGTTTAAATTTATGTTGATCTACATTTCTTACATTCAAAATCATAATTTATTTTTGTGTTATTAATAAATTTATGAAACTTTCATGAAGATATTTGGGGAAAATATAAATTAATAAAAAATTTAAAAAGTGTAATTTTTCTCTACCTATAAAGACTAAATATTTTTTAGATCTATGGATTTATCTATTATATCCATAGAGTAATTGAAATTTCTTCTTTAGTATTTTTTATTTTTTATATTTTTAGAATTAAAAAATAAATAATAATTAATTATATTTTATCATTTAATCATAATAATTGAATATATTATAATTCTATGGATGATCTATCAGATCCACAAACCAATTGCAATTTCTTATTTAATAATTATTTTTTATTTTTAGAATAAAAAAATAAATAATTAATTATATTTTATCATTTGATCACAATGACTGAATATATTATAATTCTATGAATGATCTATTAAATCCATAAAGAAATTGAAATTTCTTCTTTAATAACTATTTTTTAATATATTATATAATGTTTTATTAATTTTTATAAATTTTGGAAATAAAATAGTAAATAATTATTAATTCTATTTTCACTTAGAAGTTGTACCAATGCATGTTTTGTGATTGGATAGGAGAGTTGGGATTTTTGATTTTTCCCATCCCATAAAACATTAAAAATTAAGAATTATAATTTATAAATTATAGTTAAGCATAGGATTTTTAATGAAATTATAATTAAGTACAATGTATTTCTTCATAAAACCATTAAAATATATTAATTTAATGTATATACACCTCATTGAGGTCTTATATTTAGTATTATTGATGTATTTTTTGAAGCAATGAGAGATCCATCATATGGATGGCCAAACCCTACAGAAAGGTTGGGTGAAATTTCAAAATTTCTCTCTCTCCCATGTGGTAATAGCATTCCCTGTTTTAGAAAACTACATTTTCAAGGATCAATCTTGAAACCAAACCAGACCAAATCTGAAACCAAAAGGGAGTAGAGGGATATACCTGATACGAAGTAATAGTAAACCCCCAATAAAGGTGTTCACGCCCAAGGAGAATACCGAAGACTGTTTCCACCGAAGATGACACGGTGTGAGGTGAAGTAGAATCAGTAGGACGATTCTTCAACAAGAACCAAATTCTTTAGCAAGAATATGATGGAGGGCAGGTGAGCACGGCTTTAGATTGCCTCTTTTACCCAAAGGCAATATCAAGAACTGTTTTTGATCACTCCCATTGGTGGAGATCGAACTGGTAAAGCGGCAAGAACAGGAGAGAATAAGAGCAGAAGACAAGTGCAATCAAACTGTGTTGTCTCTCTCTCTATAATTCAGCAGACTGTGAGATGATTTGGAGGTTTGCCCTACTCTTCTATTTATATCCTTAAAGAGAGGTTCTCCTAATCTCATTAGGAGTTTCCTAATCCAAATCTTATATTTGGATCTAGACTCTCTTTAAGAGATAAGGATAATCCCTTATCTTATGTACAAATAAAGACCAGTCTTCCTAATCTAATTAAGAGTTTCTTGACCCAAATCTTCATTTGGATCTGAACTCTTTGAGAGGATAGGGATAATCCCTTATCCTATTATCTGATCCAAATCCCAGAACCGCCCCTTATTTAATTAATCTTATTAAGCCAGTTCAAATGGGCTTTAGGCCCATTAAGTCTATGTGTTCACTTAACCTCTTAATTTGCTGCCTAGTTGGCTATCCTTGTATGGCGTGGGACCCAAACATTGATCTACACATCAACCACATGGTGTCAGCCCAACCTCTTTTACAAGGCCTAGCCGAATTCACTGTAGGAGACAGTGAACCCCTGAGTCCATCACCATGGGCTCTTAATGGGCCCAAGAACTGTGGGCCCAAGAACTGTGGGCAGATGCAAGATTAGCCCATCAAGAAAAGTGGGTGAAGAGGAAGCATATCAGAAGCAGAAGCAAAATCTCGAGTAGACGGCACAGACAACAAGAAAAGTGGTAGCTGATTTGGAGGAAGGAGGAGGAGGAGGAGGCAACAACAAGGAATACTATGGAGGTTGAAGGGATTCTTCCTTTTTCATAATAGGTTAGATTGGAGGGGTTTTTTGTCCAAAAAGAAAAATGGAAACTAAATAGTAGAATGGGAATCGCATTCTAGAGGAGGGGTCGGGAATGGCCATTCCTCCACATTCCACCTACTCAGTCCCATTCCCGTCGACCAAACATTCAAAAACAGAATGACCCATTCCCGATTCCAGAGTCCTATTCCCTCGAACCAAACAGACCCTAAGTAATTCATTCCAATTCAAGCTCAACCTTGAAGTAGCCAACCAAAGATCTTTAAGAAGAACAAGGCCATTTCTGACAAGTTAGGGAGGTAGTTACGGGAAAAACTTTAGCTGTTTGGGGCCAACAGCAGAGAATTTTTGGGAATATCACATTATCATGAGAATCTCATGGGTAAATTAATAATTGCATATTAATTTATTTTTATTAAAAGCTAAAGCATGGGCATGAATAGGTTAATTGCCTAGAACATGCCCAGCCCAGAAACTGTCTCAACAGCCTATGCTGACCCTTAGTTACCTACGATGATGGCTATACATGAAAGTCGGCTTTTTAGCTCAAGGAAGCATTTTTGCCGCTTTCCTGAATTTTCACCAATCAAAGGCTTGATGATTTTCTACTCACTTTTTCTATCCATTCTTTGTCCTCTCAAATAAGTGTTTATTAAAGAAAAAGACTATCAAATGCCCAATATAAAATATGTATTTATTTTAAGTTCTTGAAAAGGTTAGGTGTCAAATGCCAATAAGTGCTTATTTTTAACTTAAGCACTCCCAAACATGGCCTAAATCCCTTATTGTTTCACCTAAATAGTAAAGCCTATGTTATTATATATAATAATAACTCATAATATGTTCATAGTATATATTACACAATATAAATAAAATTATTATTTAAAATATATTATCTGATCAAAAATATTATTTATTGATATAAAATATATCTATATTCTAATTCATAGCATTATTTGATATAATATTAAACATTATAGTATCATATAAAAAATTTCTCAAACCAAATATATTATACTGTTCTTTTTATTTCTAATATGGCAGAAAACTTTAATTGTTTCAGCACCTGTACGTAAGTGATCTGTAATAAATTGAAGGGGCAAAATGAGCCAATCGAAAGTAAGAAGGAAATGATTTAAGCGTCCACAATTTAACAATGGATATGCACCGAACAGAATGGATGATGATGATGACGATTCCTAGCTATTCTATTTTCAGCCAGAAATAGAATTTCTTTCAAGTAAAAAATAGGAAAACATAGCAGAACGAAATCCAAACCAAACATGCCCTTTTTAGAGTCACAAAGTAGTTTTCAATGTGAAGATGAGAATTATTCATAACTAAATTCAAGTTTTCCCTAAAAAACAAGTTTGGAACAAAGACTATTGCTTGCGAAAATCTTAGCTAGGTTTGAACTTGTCAAAACAGATTCATAAGACAAACCATTCATTGCTTTTGATTTGTAAACACCAAACACCACTCGTATAGCTCAGATATATATTTTTTTTGGTTTTGGATACAAAACTTGAAATCGCCACAGAGAGGGGTTTACTAATCGGATCAAACCAGAGCTTCCATCTATTCCTGTCATGTCAACAACTGATTTATTCGACGATCCAATCTGCCCATTGGGCAAGAGACCCTCTTCCTGTCACTGCTACTTAGGTTGTGTTTGGTAGCAGTACTGTTAAACGTTTTGGATTGATCAATATAATATAAATTGGTGAGGAATATATGTTTTCACATCACATACAATCGTCAATTCAACTAAATCAATTCATCTGTGCAACGTTTATGGGTTGAAACAGTATTTTGTATTATTGATTAACACAAAACTTTTCAGGTAGCTAAAAACAGCAATGCTACATAAGTTTTACATCGATTTTCAAAATGTAACAGTCGTTATATATACGGTTCAGTGTGAAACGTCATCAGTGAATGGCCCAGAACCACCACCTCTTCCAAACGTTTTTTACACTGATGACGTTTTTCACCTCTTCCAATCGCAGCTTTATGTTCATTAACAAAGTTAATGGCCCAGAACCACCACCTCTGTGAATGGCTTAACTGTAATCGTAATCAAAATTTACAGAAAAGATGGGACTACTCACGCTCACCATTGCTGGTCTAAGATAGCTCCCTCACCTTTCTGCAGTCGATATGACAGAGTTTCCATTAATTGCTTCACTGACCGTCCAGAAGATTGAGGCAACGTTAGACCATCAAGCGAATAACTACAGTTGTCTGAAATCTGAATCTTCATATTGGGCAGGCAAGATTCAACAACTCCCCCAGAGACGAAGCTCACACACTCACAAAGATGTCCCAAGTGAGTCTCATTTAAATCTGTTAGGTAAGATGTACCATTAATTAATTGTTTTTCCTTCCTCATTGATGAATGAGTGAGCGGCTATTGAATGAGCTGATCAGTTGGTTCAGAGGATTTTTCTCATTTCCATGGAGCCCAGAACTACTCCAGTTTCATCTTCTTTATGAGACGGTTTTGTAGGTAGAATGAGCAATGGATAGGGATAGAAACCATATAAAGCTCCAAAACAGGAAGAATTAATCCTCACCTTTCTATCCAGATCGACTACCCACAAAAGTCTCAGCCGTCTCAGCCCACTTTCACCTAGCTTTTCTCTATAACCTGAGCTTCCAATCAGAACCCAGCTTCATTCGCAGACTGTACAGAAGCAGTTTCTTCCTTCTCTTTGGCTTCTGAATCAAAATGGCTGGTGACCAGCAGCCATTGAAGTCAGTTCATCATCTCCTCTTCTGTTCCCTCCTTGTTCTTCACTTCTCTGCAAAGGGCATTCATGGACTTAATATCGGCGTTGAACCGTCAGATTCATCTGGGGTTTGTTCTTCTTCAAATCTTCTTAATGTTTTTATTAAAATGCTCGTAATGTTTCTTGTCCCCTTGATTTCGTTCTTTTAATTTTCTACAGGGCCAAAGATGCAGTAAAAGATGTGAATCAGAGTTCTGTACAGGTAATCTTTTAAGTTTTTTGGAGGCAGTAGTTGTAATTGACATTCTTTATATGAGTATTTTTGGAGTTAAATATAACAGTTTTTTTTTTTAAATGGAGCGGTTAGTCTCCGTTTGGATGATCTTTTGCTTTCGAGATTTGGGCCATAGGAATTGGGAAGCAAAAAATGTGCCAAAAAGTGTTTTGAGCATTTTGTGAGAGTTGCATTTATCTATATGCCCAAGTCAAAACACTTTAAGCCTCGAAACAAAAGTGTTTTAATTATATTGTGCTGTTGGGCTCTAAAAGCATATCTTCTGAAGCTTATCCAAACACAACTTCAGTTAATAATGACTGTTGATTATATTCCGTATTATTTATGCAAACGACGCTGGGTTTGGCTTCATAGAAACGAAGAGATCAGATATAAAAAGCTTAATTTCCTCAATTTTCTGTTCTCTCAGATATATTTTCTATCAAACGAAACACAGCCTGAATGTTTTATAGTTTGCCGTTTGCTAATGCTTTTGTTTCTGTCTCTCTTTGACTTTGGGTGCATGGCAGTTCCTCCATTTCTACGATATGGGAAGTACTGTGGACTTTTGTACAGTGGGTGCCCAGGGGAGCAGCCATGTGACGAGCTTGACGCTTGTTGTATGAAGCACGATGACTGCATTGGAATTAGAAACAGTGAGTTCAGCTCAGGCATCAAAAGTAACTTCTTAATACTAAAATTTTATTAATATTGAGAAATGATCTTACTGTAACAAATTTTTTCTTTGGGAAGATAATATTTAGTTTTGATTAAATGGTGAGGAAAAAGTTTGGCCAATGGCAAAGTGAGTCTCATGATAAATTACTTTACCTAATTAAATGGTATTCATCTCTTATCTGGGAGCTAATACTCATCTCTCGTAGTAAATCATTTATTTTTTCATTTAAGAGGAAAATTGTTAAAATATCATAAAATAAGATTGTCCCTTTTAATAATTTGATTTTATGGGTAAAAATGCCAAAAACAAAAATACATAGGCTCAGTTTGGAAGGAGTACAAATGCAAATTTATAAAGTGCAAAACCTTGTATTTTGTGTTATTTTGTATGCATTTGCACTTTACATATTTCTATTTGTATTCCTTCCAAACTGAGCCTTAGGAAACACAGTGCACTTCTCATTTAATGCCTTCCCCAAAGAAAAATGAATAGGGCGATACAGAGTCTATCCTCAACATAAAATCAATTTTGACTGGGACTTTATGATCTTGAAGCTACGTAGAAAGGTAGGGAACGTTGATTGGAGTAAATGCATGGAAGACCAAATGTAAATGTAAATGGGCCTGTATTTACACTGGTGTAAATGCATGGAAGACCAAATGTCAAATTAAAATGAAGGCAAGATGAGGGAACGTTGATTGGAGTGAAATAAAAAATAAAACATAACCCTAATTTTTATATGAGAGAAAATTAAAGGTAGGAAGAAGGTGGTGCAAATTTTACATGACTTTTCAGAATACAAAATTTGTACTACCAAGGAATACAACGGACAAAAAGTATAAATTTTTAGGTAAGAGTGCAAATCATAGTTACAAACAAATGAGTGCAACTCTTTCTAAAATGGGTGCAATTAAAATTTTTATCCCATTAAGATTTGCACTACAAATAAATAGAGATTGTTTAGACTCCCCAAACCTATGCCATGACAATAACATGGGAAGGTCCTAAGACCGTAGAAGTTATATGGCAAACTTCATTTATCAGAGTATAAATAATTTTCAATTTCTCTCTCTAACAATTTTGTGTTATGGGTTGGAATTGGTGTCAGATAACTACCTAAGCCAAACTTGCAGCGAAGAATTAATCAACTGTGTAAACCAAGCCAAATATTCAAGAACGCTTACGTTCGTGGGAAACAAATGCTCGGTTGAAGAGGTGGCTGATGTTATTACTGTTACAATCCAAACTGCTTTGTTGGCTGGAAGGTTTCTTAATGATCCTTGATGCATCAAGTTAGGCCAGTTGGCAATTGGGTTGAACGAGAAAGAGTACTTCCATGGGTTGGGGGGTCAAAAACTGATATTATTTATTGTTGTTTTCTTCTTAGATTTGGAGACTTAGAGGCTGTTATTTCCCATGCAACTTTTCCAGTTTTCTACCAAAAAAATAAAAAATAAAAAGATTGTTGGAAACGTTTACTCTCTTCAACAACCCCAAACTATTGTCAATAAATATCAAGTACTTGATATGGTACAGGTAACAGGCGACCATACTTCTTCTCTTTCATGCTTTTATTTGATTATTTATATTTATATTTTTTTGAGAATCATAACAGTAAGTTTTATAAATTATAATGATAATAGCAGTTTACAAGATATAAAGCAAGCATGAATCCACTTGATTCATATCATAATTAGGTTCCAACCTCCCTCCCATAAATGCTCTCATCTCTTTTACTCTTGCTCCAATAAACCATTAATCACAAAAAAAGTACGTTCCTTTGGCCTTGTAGAGGTTCTGCAACTAATGTTGCGTTTTGAACCGATGCAAATCCCGGTTTAGAGTAAATTTGCACTCTGGTTCACTTTTTCTTGTGTTTGGCAATATTACATTTTTGCATTGATAAATGATAGACCAATACATATTTACATTAATAAAAGGATGTAAAAGTACATTAATAAAAAAGAAGTAAATTTTCATTCAACTGGGCTTTTGATAAAAAAAGCATATGCTTAATGGAATTCGTGTTTGCATCCATTACAGCTAAAGGTCTGTTTGTTAAGAAGGTAAATTTGTCAATGCAAAATTAACCCAATTTCACAATTTATATGAACCATTTTACACTCTACATATTTGCATCATTTCGAAACGCAACCTAAGGTTGCATTTGGAAACGATGCAAATGGCATGTAAATCCCAGTTCAGGGTAAGTTTGCACTTTGATTTACTTTTGCCTGTGTTTGGCAACATTACATTTATATATTTACAAATGACAGAAAACACATTTTCCATTGCATATTTAATTGATAATAAGATGTAAAAAGTAAATTTGCATTTAAGTGGGCTTTTGATAAAAAAAGGCATATGCTTTATTGGAATTGGTGCTTGCATCATTACAGCTAAAAGTCTATTTAGTAGAATGATAAATTTCTCGGTGCAAAACTTACCCAACTTTACAATTTATATGAACCGTTTTACACTCTACATATTTACATTCACACTTATTTGCATCGTTTCCAAATGCAGCCTAAGGTACATGCATTTCTACTTGCTAGGACTGTAAATGATTTTTCCAACCAATTAAAGTTCCTGTTAGGGTTGTCCAATATTTTAAAGTTTAAACACTAGTTCTGGGTCTAGACCAGGGCCATAATTTTATCCCGTTTGGGCAATAATCTAGATTTCTAGATTTCCAAGTAGTTTCTATTTAATGAACAACCATGATGCTAATGAATTTTATGGAGTGCATTAGTTAAAGAATTTTGATCTACAATTTCTTATCCCAAGTTTCTAAGTAAAAGAGTGCATCAATTAAACAGTAATTTGAATCCTTAATGAAGCCATTATTTTATAGTACGACACATACTCAACAAGAATTATAACCATCTTCAAAAGAAGTTTCAAATGAAAATGAGGTAACAATTCTAAGGTGGCATTTGATTGCACTTTTTAGAGGTTTGAATCTGAAAATGTTGCTTTTTAGACCTCACCCCTTGTTTAAAGGATAAACAGAGATGATAGTGGAGAAACAGAGACATGGGAGAATGAAAATTTTGTAAAGAATTGTATATCTAATTGTTGTGTTTCTGTACAAGGGCATAGGTAAATATATATACAACTGGGTTGTACAAAAGAAGGAAAGAGTACAAAAGGAAACTAAATCAAATCTAGATCCAATACGTGATTACTGTAATCATGGCTAGATTCAATTTTGTGATTATAGTAATCACGGGAAGGCAATCAATATCATATCTTAACATCCCCCCTCAAACTCAAAGTGGTGCACTAGAACAAATGTTGAGTTTGAAAGTTAGTTCTCGGAAATGCCTTGGTGAGTAAGCTTTAGTGAAGATGTCGGCGATCTGGTCCATAGAAGAAATAGATACAAGATGAATAATGCCATTTTGAATATGTTATCTAATAAAGTGACAATTGTTTCAATGTGTTTAGTGCATTCATGAAAGACATCATTATGGGCAATCTGAATTGCACTGCGATTGTCACAATAAAGTGTAGTTGGACCATGGTGCTTGACTCTCATATCTTCTAATAACCATCGAAGCCAAATAAGTTCAACAGTGGTGTTTGCAATTGTTGTGTATTCAGCCTAAGTGCTGGATCGAGAAACAACAATTTGTTTCTTACTACGCCAGGAAATAGGATAATTACCCAAAAGAAACAATAGCCAGTTGTTGAACATCTATCAATGGGATCACCAGCCCAATCAACATCTGAATAAGCACTCAATTGTAAAGAAGAATTAGTAGCAAAGTGCAGTCCATAAAAAAGAGTACCATTGATATAACGAAGAATGTGAAGAACCGAAGCATAATGACTGGAGTGAGGAGTTGTCATAAACTGACTAACAATATGAACTGTATGGGCAATGTCTAAATGAGTGATAGTAAGATATACAAGACTTCCAACAAGTTTTATATAGAGTGTGGGATCAGAAAGAGCTATGCCATTAGTGGGGGTTAGTTTGGCATTAGTCTCTGGTGGTGCAGAGGTGGTTTTAGTATCTATTAATCCAGCTTGAGAAATGAGATCAAATGCATACTTAGCTTGACAAATAATACCCATCAAATCTAGTCGTAACTTCATGGCCTAAAAAACAATTGAGTAGACCCAAGTCTTTCATTTCAAATTCTTCGCTAAGGTGCATTTTGAGTTCATGGATGCCGAAAGTATCATCTCTAGTAATGATCATGTCGTCCACATAGATTAATAGCAGTGTTAAACCTCTATTAGATTTTCAAATAAAAAGAGCTAAATCATAGGAACCAGAGGTAAAGCCAAATCAAGATATAGTGGCACTAAACTTTGAAGACAATGCACGAAGAGCCTTCTTAAGACCATACAAAGCATGATGAAGGCGATACACTTTATTGGGTGGGTGAGAATAACCGGGCGGCGGTTGCATATATACCTCTTCTGTAAGATCCCCATTAAGAAATGCATTTTTCATGTCTATCTGAAACAATTTCCATTGACGTACTGCAACAACTATAATTAAACTCTTTACAGAACTAAGTCGAGCAACAAGGGCAAATGTCTCATCATAATCATTGGCATACTCTTGAGTGAATCCTTTAGCAACAAGTCGTGCTTTGAATGAGTCTTAATTAGACCTATTCAGGGTCGGGTTGGGCCGAGCTCGGACCAGGCTTTTGCTCTTTATTAACATAATTTTTTCAGGCCTAAGCTCGAGTTCAACCCAACCAACGAGCCTAAAACTTGATCCTGAGCTCGGCTCTCATGAAAAGCCTGAAGCCCGACCTGGGAGTCTGAGTGTCGGTGCCCTCTAAGGATTAAGAGAATGGTGCCTGCTGTGTTCGTCGATTCCTGGGAGTCTGAGAGTGAGAATAGAAACTAAGAAAGTGAGAAGATAGAAGATGACGACAGTGTCGACCAGAGAGAGAGAGAAAGAAAGAGAACTCACCGCTTAAGAGAGAGAGAAAGAGAGACGATCTAGATCTGGTGGCGCTAGCTGCCGGTGCTTGAGTTCGAAGAATGAAAATGGTGCGCCTGGGTTCTAGTGGCGCTAGTTGGAGAGAGAACAGAGAAGATAGAAGACTTAGTTCTAAGAAGAGAGAGAACTAAGAATGAGAAGAAAGAAGATGAAAACGGTGCTGGCTGGAGAGAGAGAGAGAGAGAGAGATCACTGCCAAAGAGAGAGATGACTACTTCTTGTGGCGTTGGCCACTGGTGACTGAGTTCACAGGTGCAGCTGGGTTCGCCGGTTCTGAGAGTTGAGAGGGAGAAATGAGAGCCGCTTCTGAGAGTGGGAGTGAGAAAGGAGAATGAAAAGAAAATTTTTAAGTATTTAGGGGTAAGGTTAGGCAGTTTAGGAAAAGTCGGGCTGGGCTGAGCTTGGGCCAAGCTTTTTTAGCAAATCTCGAGCCCAACCCATAAAATAGTCGGGCTCGGGCTTTTAGGCCCGAGGTCAAGCCCGCGGGATAAAACACATGCTCAAGCCCATCCGGGGGACCAGCCCGGCCCATCGGGCTACCCGGCCCATGAACAGGTCTAGTCTTAATTTTATAGACCCATTTACAACCCACTATTGATTTATCGGGAGGTAAATCATCAAGATCCCAAGTACTCGTTTTTTCTAAGGCTCGTGTTTCATTTGCCATTGCTTCTGCCAAAGGGGATCAGAATTGGCCTCGTGAAAGGTATGAGGTTCATATAGAGAAATGATGATAGAAAAACAATGATAATCACAAAGATGAACATGAAGTTTGCTTACCCTTGTAGAATGACGTAGAGGAACAACATCAAAAGAAGTTTGTGGAGTAGAATCAAAAAGTGTAGGATCTGCAAATGGAGCAGTGCCATTGGGAAGAGTCATAGTAGTGGGCATTGGACTGAGCTCACTAGAGAGTCCTACATCAGCATCTTCAGAAAATAGCTCAACAAAAGGATTAGTGAAGAAGGAAGAGTTTGAAGGAACAAAGAATCCTGGCGTGGTTGAAAACATTTTATGTTCCCAAAAAACAACATGACGAGAGATTCAAAATCTGTTAGAAATTGGATCCCAACATCGATAGCCTTTGTGTTTAATCTCATAACCTAGAAAACAACATAGTCGAGAGCGAGGTTCAAGTTTGGTACACTCATGAGGCTGAAGTTGAACAAAACACATACAGCCAAAAACTCGAAGCAAATTATAGTTATGAGGAATACCAAGGAGCTGTTCATAAGGAGATTGATTTCTGATTGTTGGAGAGGGAATGCGATTAATGATATAAACAGCAGTAAGCGCAACTTCTTCTCAAAACTGTTCAGGACAAGAGGCAGAAATAAGGAGAGATCGAACAGTACCATTCTGTTTTAAAAGGTTAAGATGGTATTGTTCTTTGTATTCCATGGCATTATCAGTTCGAAGGATTATGACTTTACAAGAGAGTTGAGTTTGAACCATGTTGGTAAAGTTGGAATAAATTTCAGGTAATTGAGATCTATTGTGCATAAGATATATCCATGTAAAACGAGAGAAATCATCCACAAAAATAACAAAGTATCGTAAGCCATTGTAACTGTTGGGGAAGGTCCCC